TAGGGATTGAAAGATGATAGGTCAAGTTGTCTTATAGAATTACATGGTATACATTGGTAAAGAAATATTATAACGCTGTTACATGGTCTCAAATGTTTAGGGATGGATCGAAGTTGGATGTTAATACCTAATAGATTGGATAAAGACTACATTGCTGGTGTTAAGTCATTCATTGATGCTGCAAATAAACATTTGAATAGTGACAATGAGACCCGTTGTCCTTGTCGTGATTGTCAAAATGGAAGATTGTTTAGTTTACCCGTTATTTGGCGTCATCTTATAACACGTGGGATTTCACAACATTACCAAACATGGACATTACATGGAGAAAGTGTTGATAATGAGTCAAGTACTGAAATGGACGATGATAGCGAGAGTGATACTGAGGATGATAATGACGTTGACATGTTTGGTATCTTAGATGATATGATAGGCCCAATAAACATGGATGCCAACGTTGAGGGTGGTGCTGCCAATAGTTCTCATGCTAACAAATTTAATGATTTGTTTGAGGAAGCTAAACGAGAACTTTATCCTGGTTGTACCACATTTTCTCCATTAACATTCATTATAAGGTTGATGCATATTAAGGTACTGGGTCGTTGGAGTAATAAACATTTCAATATGTTGCTCCAATTCTTAAAATGCTCTCATCCAAAAGGAGCAATTATCCCCACGTCACTTTATGATGCGAAAAAAATGTTGCGAGAAGTGGGTTTGGGATATGAATCCATTCATGCATGTGTGTATGATTGTGCCTTGTTTTGGAAACAAAATGAGAAACTTGATAAATGTCCGGAGTGTAATGAGTCGAGATACAAGCCAAGTAATAGCAAAAAAAAGCTTATCCCACAAAAAGTATTGCGTTATTTTCCATTAAAGTCTAGGTTGCAGAGATTGTATGCTTCTAGACACACTGCGATCGACATGAAATGGCACAAAGACAAGCGACTTAATGAAGAGGGCATTCTTAGACATCCTTCAGATTCTGAGCAATGGAAGGATTTTGATATCCAATATCCTTGGTTTGCACATGACTCTAGAAATGTTAGGTTAGGACTTGCTACAGATGGTTTTAATCCATTCGGAAATATGAGCAATAATTACAGTTTGTGGCCAGTCATACTTATACCATATAATTTGCCACCTTGGAAATGCATGAAAGCAAATTTTTCTATGATGACGTTACTTATTCCTGGACCAAATGCACCTGGGAGGAATATTGATGTGTATCTTCGTCCATTGGTGGATGAGTTGAAAGAATTGTGGGAGGATGGTGTTCAAACTTTTGATGTCTCCACTGAGGCAAGTTTCCGTATGCATGCATGTGTATTGTGGACTATAAATGACTTTCCTGCTTACGGGAATTTATCTGGTTGGAGCACAAAGGGATACTTGGCATGCCCTGTATGCAATGCAGATATTACATCAGATAGGTTGATACACAAAATATGCTACATGGGTCATCGTCGATTTCTTCCTCGTAACCATTCTTGGAGGAAAAGTCTTGCATATAATGGCAAAACTGAGCATCGACCCCCTCCGAGGTTGTTTTCCGGGGATGAATTATTAAAGCAATTAGATCTTGTTAAACATTGTAAGCCTGGTAAACATCCAGCCAATCCGGATTTGGTACGAAAACGGAAGCCTCAAGAATTGAATTGGACAAAGAAAAGTATTTTCTTTGAGTTAAAATATTGGTCAAAACTGAAGTTGAGACATAACATTGATGTTATGCATGTTGAAAAAAACATATGTGACAACATAATTGGGACATTGCTTAATATCAAAGGGAAAACTAAAGACACAGATAATGCTCGACGAGACTTGAAAGATATGAACATTAGGCCAAATGATCATCTTATGCCAGAAGGGAATGGATTTAGGAAACCTCATGCAAGATATACATTGAATGTGAATCAGCGCAAGGACTTCTGTAAATTTTTAAAATCTGTCAAATTCCCTGATGGGTACGCTGCAAATATCTCTAGAAATGTGACCATTAGTGATGGGAAGATATCCGGATTGAAAAGTCATGATTGCCACGTTTTACTCCAACGTCTTCTCCCTGTTGGTATTCGTTCATATTTGGATTCTGATGTGTGTACTGCACTAGTTGAGTTATCCATCTTCTTTCAACGTATGTGTGCAAAGACATTAAAAATTTCAGACTTGGACCAAATGGAGAAAGATATTGTTTTGACATTATGCAAACTTGAAAAGATTTTTCCACCGGCTTTTTTTGATGTGATGGTTCATCTAGCCGTCCATTTACCTCGAGAAGCAAAACTTGCTGGTCCAGTTACCTATCGATGGATGTATCCCATTGAAAGGTTGTTGGGGTCATTAAAGAAATATGTGAAAAACAAAGCATGTCCGGAAGGGTCAATTATAGAAGCTTATTGTGTAAACGAAGCGGTCACACATTGTTCAATGTATTTTCGTAGAATTGAAACACATTTCAATCCCAAAGAACGAAATGTTGACGGAGGGCATAACCAACAAGGTGGTTTGTCAATATTCTCTCAAAAAGCTCGTCCTTTTGGAGGAAAAAAATTTATATTGATGGATAAAAAAGAAGTTGATAAAGCTCATTGGTTTGTACTCAACAATTGTGATGAGATCCAACAATATCTCAAGTGAGTGAAACAAATTTAGTTTTTTTCAATTATTTTGTATGAGTAAAATTAAATAATATTAATTATGTAATTTCTACATCTAGCGAATATAGAGAGGAGTTGCAAGAAACAAGTGCTACCAACTTACAACAACAACTAGAACAAGGATTCCCGCAGTGGTTTGAA